ATTCAAGGAGTTACTTCTTGTTGCAGCTTGATCCATATGATCAGTTCTGATTTGACCAAAATGATCACATATGCGCTTAAATTTATATAGCACCTACTTGTGAGAATTAGTGGCCCATTGGCCCCGATGAGGACCATACTATGAGTCTGTGTTGAACCTTCCTAGTTCTATAGAAAAACACTTCAAAAAATTATCTGAAAAATATCTCAGATTATCTGACACCATTAAAAGAAAAGTCTTAGTTGTGTACCAATGCACTTGTACATGCAACTCTGCTTAATACAGGCATAAAGAATTATACAAGTATAAAACTCAATAGAATTATGTATGCTAACCTTCTTCCTGCAGAACTTGAATAGAGGATTCAAGTACCTAGCACACTGCTTGAATGTGGCAACCATTGATTTCCCTTTTGCAGTCCTCTTTTCAGCCTCACTCATCTCATCAAGTTCTTGACTCCACTCGTTAAGCAATCTCTTAAAGAATACCAAAATCTTGTCCTCATCACATAGCTCCTCAAATTTAGTCTTCATCCTCTTTAAATCCTTATCGTAATCCACTCCTGACGACCCTCCCTCCCCGCTCAAATCTTCATCTCCACCTCCCCCATCTTTGTCCTCTCCCTCATCTGTAGATTTCCTCTTCCTTTCACTTAAGATTCCGGACTTTTGTCTTTTCTTCAATTCCACAATGTCACGCAGGAAATCATTCGTTTGCCCCTCTGTCATGTCGCTATCGTCCACTTCAAACAGCCCCGCTTTCAGCACATATTTCAATCTATCGAGCCTCGCTTCGTCGTCTTCTCCGAATAGAGTGACAGGTTGCTTCAGAAATCGGAGTCTGCGAATAACTTCTTGTCTCGGAAGATTGAGTGAGTCGATCTTTTGTTCGTCGGTTAGGGTTAGGGTTTTCGAAGAGGTGTTGAATTCGGCGTTGGATTTACTAAGGTGGTCCGAATTGGAGTTAGGATTTGATGAAGAATTGGCACAGGAGTTGTGTTGCTGTTCAGATTGCTTCTTGCGGAGGGCTTTTGCTTCAGCTTCGCGTTTCTCTTCCTCGTGTAGCCGCTGAAGGCGTTTCTGCTCGATCTCGGAGCGCTTGAAAACTTTTTTGCCTCCGACGTCTTGCCGTAGGCTGTTTCGCCTCTTTTCAAGCTCCTGCTTGAGAATATCCATGGATATGTTTCTTCCCGGTGCACAGTTCGTCGGAATTAATTCAAAACTCAAAATAGGAATGAGGAAAGTGTCTACTCAGTATGATGGATCCGATCCGTATGCGGTACTGCCGGGTGAGAGGCTATGCCATTTTTGTAAATTAAATGAAAATAATGTTTTTTTAAATGAGCATTAATTTATGTTTGAGCTTTAAGATGTTTTTTCTTCAACTATAATTTGTTGGTCTGGTCTATTTAAGTTTGATATGGTCAGGTCTGATATGTTTAAATCTGGTCCGGTCTGGTTTGATCTAGTCTGACCTTATCTGGTCTGGTATAGTAAACGCCTAGTCTCTGTGTATTTTATAACAAGAAAGTCAAGCAAGTCTGGTTTGTTTAAGTCTGGTATGTTTAAGTCTGATCAGGTCAGGTCAGACCTGTTTAAGTTTGGTCTGATTTGGTATGTGACTGAAACTAGTCCAAGTAAAAATATCTTTATTTCATTGAGTATTAAGAGTGCAATAATGTGTATGTGATATCGATTTCATATCTTTTAATTCACTTTGTTTTTCTTATTTTTTAAAATATCTATAATGAACTCGTTTGAATTCAATATTGTTGGTGATTAATAAGCTGGAAATATTAACACACAATATTAAAATTTAATATTAAAATAGAAATTTGTCCTCATGGGGTTTCAGAACTAAAATACAAGACCTTGCCTTCTTTAGGATTGAAGGTTACAACATGATTCTTCTTCATTGGAACTCCCAGGCTCCCAGCGAGCGAGCAACAGACATCAATCGATGCCTCCTTCATCAACTCCCAGGACCTCAGTGAGCAGCACAACAAGGAAGAATGTAACCATTACCACTAGAATTGTAATTAATTGCAAAACTACTCAGTTGCATTGTACGATGATCGCCGTACAATCAAGTGTACGGTATAATTTTTGGTATATGATATCGTTGCATGTATATACGTCAAATATAGTTGAATAACTTAGAGAGGGTAATGATAATTTCAACAAAAAAACTTAGGAAAATGATAGGGAAACCTAGGCACCAAGCTCCTAGACAATCCTCCTAAATGATCCGATCTCCTTGTCTTGTATGATGCTACTCTTTTTCTATTTCTTCTTCTAGGGTTCTGATTTTGATCCGACTTGTTCTTTGGTTGAGAGTTTTGTTCACTTTAGGTGAACGTATAATTTGTTTTTCTCCTAACAACGTCTAGAGGTTGTGTCCTTGTCGGTGTAACTGATCGAGTGACGGACTTTTATTATTCATGATTGGCAAGACGAGTTCAACCTAATTCTTTCGAAGTTTCAACTACTCTCCCTCCCTAACTACCGCCTCACTCTGAGAGGAAGTTAATGCTCACCATGGTCTACTTTTCGGTGGCTCGTCAAACTGATGGTTGAGTTAATTTCTATTCAATTGAATTCCTTTCGGTTACTGACTTGCACCACACCTTAGGGCGAATAATTTAAATATGACTTTTTCACCCTTAGGGTTGGCACTGGTCTCAAGGTTGCAAACTTGCAATCACTACAATAGAGTGGGAAAAAGTATATTTACAACTGCATATGAAGATGAATTTTGAAAAGCAAGTATGTGTGTCATAATTAATACTCCGAATCCGTACGTAAATCATTGAGACGGTGAGAGATCTTCTTCTAGATTACTCTGGACATTTTAGTCTACCTTTCTAGAATGCATTCTTTTTTAATTTAATTTTAATATGGACGGTAAAAGAATTTAATTTCTCTATCTTTCTAGAAGGCATGCTATATTAAGAGTATTTTTTGCTTAATTTCATCTTTGAAGTGATTATAATGTACCAATTTTAATCTACCCTTGCTACAAATGCAATTTGTCAAGTATATACAAATGCAGTTTGAATTTCACGAAAAACATTGTTTTACGAAACTTTCAAGTTTCACGAAAAATCGGAGTTTCACCAAAAACCTTCGTTTCACGAAAAGCACTACTTTCACGAAAAATCCTATTTTCACGAAAATCACTACTTTCACGAAATATAATACTTTCACGAAAAAAACTACTTTAACGCGGAACACTACTTTCACGGAAATTTGAAGTTTCACGAAAATGTTGTGTTTCACGAAAGTTTGAAGTTTCACGAAAGTTGAAGTTTAATGAAAAACCTACGTTTAACGAAAAACACTATTGTCACAAAAATCACTACTTTCATGAGAAACAATACTCTCACGCAAAACGCTACGTTAGCGAAAAATTTGAAATTTCACGGAAAAGTTTTGTTTCACGAAATAGATTTGTTTCACGAAAGTTTGAAGTAGTTTCACGAAAAATGGAGTTTCATGAAAAACCTATGTTTCACGAAAAACCCTACTTTCACGGAAAACAGGAAAAAGTTTTGTTTCATGGATTCACGTATCTTCAAGGATGACTCCATACATTCATTGCTGTAAATTAGGTCCACCAAGACAAATCTTACAAATTTAACTTTATAGAATGGAATCTATGAATGAATCATATACTAACCTTCATCTCCCGGAATCGGACGATTCTCACGCGACCTCAAATCGCTGCTTGAGTTGTTGGCTGTTTCGATGACTTGCTGACCGTAGATATACCTTCGAATCGTCCATCATGTGAGCTGGAATCATAGTCGTCCGTCCATAAACGTAAGTTCTATCTCATGTCTCACGAAAAACACGTTTAGACACGAAAAACACGTAACAAGAGAGCCCAAAGTGATCTGGTTGGAGAGAAGCCCAAGCTTTAGGTAAATGGATTCAAAACAAGCGATCGCACTCAATTAAGACGCTTCCAAATGTTTGGGAACTAAAAATGTTTTCAAATCTTTTTGATGCATTCTTCAATCTTTTTTATGCATTCCATTTTGAGCATACCAATATATTAATCATGCATTAAGTTAATTGATAATGAGAGAATGAGTGCACGTGAAACATGGAATGGTTAGAAAACAAGAAGAAACTTTAAAATGCATGCATGAAAATGAATGATAATATTGCATATCATCATCTTCGGACAAAAACATACCTAGTATATAGTAATATACATAATATTAAGAAAGCTCATGCCTTTTAGTATTATCACATGTAATTTTCTCCTTACTTAAGTAAGTTAAGTTAGCTAGGCATGATAGTTTATCCAAATACTCCCTCCGGTTCCAAAAGATCTTGACACTTTGACTTCATAGTTTTTAAGGAAATAAACACCGTTTGGCACTGTTTGACACTGTTTTGTGTAGATTTATTTGCCAAGTAAGGCAAATAAGGAAGTGTAAAGATCTTTCTGGTACTGCTAAAAGTGGAAAGTGTAAAGATTTTTCAGAATCGGAGGGAGTATAAAATATAGAAAAAATTGAAAATAATAATCTCAGCTATTGCCGGTCCGCTAACAATAATCCCAACTATTGATTATTTTTGTATAATTCCAACTATATGGACCGTCCGCCAATAATGGTCCATGACCAAATATTACCTTCTATAAAAGTGAATTTTAAATAGAAATTAAAAGTTAGGGATAATTTATTGGGATTACTGCTATATCTTTTCTCATTCACTTTAGAAAGTACATAAACTTATTTACAAGGACTATTATTGGCGGAAGACCTCTAAAGTTGGGATTATTCTGAAATAATCGATAGTTGAAATTATTATAAGCGGACCGCCAATAGTTGAGATTATTATAATCAAATTTTCCTAAAATATACCCCTAAGTTAAAAAAATGCAAAAAATATATTTTAGTTTAGACTTTAAAATACACGGAGTATAGTTTAAAATGCATCATATAGTGTCAAATTTAATTCGTTATTATATTGCTTTAATAATTATCTTTTGAAATGAATCACTTAACTGAGTAAATTGACAAAAGAAGAGTATTGGGCTCAGCCCAATGTTTTTAAGTCAAATCACTCGCTTATTCTGCTTCATCTCCCTTCTTTGCTGCCTCAACTTCCGACCAAGTACGTCCAAGCTTTTCGTAATCGCCGGCCGGTAACTCGCCGTTCTTCCTTATCCATTCAGGTGTTAGCTCTTTTCTACCCTGTACGAACGTCTAACCTTATTACACATTCCAAAAAACGTAGTACTGCGCAGCCCAGGCATTTAGATTTTAGTCAAAATGCCAATCTGGATCTGTGGTTTTTTGTGATTATGGTTTGGCTTCGTGTTTCATATTAATTAACTGCCATCTGATGGTATGTAGCTTTAAGATATGGATTTTGACAATTTATTTATTAATTTGCATATATAGTCGTAGAAAGAAACATAAAACTCCTGAAACTCTGAAAGGTGTCAATTCAGTTATGTATATCACGCCGTATAAGAGTTTACCGAATTTTATAAACTCAAAATGCATTTCTTATGAGCCATTGATAATTTATTGAACTATCTAATTGTTTTTGTGTTTTTAGAATTTGGTTAGCAAAATTCCTACTCAGTGCGGTAATATCTCAATTCTCAAATCAACTATTATTAAGGAGCGTTTGCGTTTTTCCGATTTATATTAGTGATTATATGAAAAGTGATTAGTTTAGTATAAGAGTAGGTAGTGTTTAGAAAGGAAAGTGATTCTGAAAAAGTAATTTTCAGAACACCCTTCCCTGCAAAACTGTTTAGCTTTAAAATGTTTAATTTAAGTAGAAGCACTTGTTTGAAAACACTACCTTTAGCTTTTATAAATCTAAAAGTTGAAAAACATTTTTTTTAAGCAAAGGAAAACACTGCCTAAGGCTTATGGCCAAATGACATGTGTATGCAGTTATGTAAAATCTCAGTTGAACTTGAGTTGTGCTCTCATTGTTTAATTTGTACAATCACTGCGGTATGGGCATGTTAGAGTAATTAAACAGAGTGATAGAACCAGATAATCATCATGTAGCGCCGATGTATAATGCCATGTACTTAGCTTGATTACCTTAGGTCATCATCATCATTACCCCAGTGCCGCAAAGGCTCCCACCGACGGTGGGGTAAGGGGGGGTCGGATGTACGCAGTCCCCCTGTACTAAAGCATGGAGAGATTGTTTCCGGATGACCCATAGTGAAAATCGCGTACAAAATTGCATGGACTGACGGCTGCTTCATAACAAAGAAGCGTAGACAGTTTAGTGAGTCATTTTGCTTTATTTCATGATTCCATCATATTTTGAAGCCAAGAAATAGTGAATCTTTGGCTCCATTGCAAATGATGGAAAAGCTTGATTACCTTTGGTGTTTGATTTTTTTCTACAGAAGAGCTGTTTACAGAAAAGCTCAATTATTAATTTGTCTTACAATCCCATTTTTTCGCTAGAATACGGAATACATCTTGGAGTCGTGTATCATTGCTCTCACACACACTTTTGGATGAATGTTGAGATAGAATCTTTCAAAGCCTCAATTGAACAGAATAACACTACATTGAATTGGGAACATTTTATTGTGTTTTAGTTTGGCTAAATCAAACCAACACTATGTTAATTTAGTCCGCTATTCGATTTTAAAAGTTTGGGCACAATGCACTACTTGTTTGTTTACCTTATTATTGTGCTTGAATGATTCAGATGCCCCCATGTGCCTCTTGTGTTGTGTGTTCCATTTTGTGGAACCTAGACAGAATTAGTAGATGTTAAAAAGATCTTTGTTCTATATTGCTTATAACAGTTTGACTTTTGTACTATTTACATACTCTAATTTTATTTAATAATGTATTAGAATATTATATTACGAAAAGTACTGCTAAATGGCCAAAATTGTGTTGGCAAATGTGAAAGTCAAAGAATTGTACCTAAATAAGAACAGTGTAAGTACAAATATTAATTGTTGGAACAACATTGTAGGGGTCTTGCCCCCAACCCCGTTGTTTATTAAAGAACCCAAAGAACTACTCTATTCGTCCCACTAAGATTGTCTCATCATTCCTTTTCAGTCCGTCCCACTAAAATTGTTTCATACCAAATTTGGTAAAATTTGGGTGGTTCTAAATGATTCTTACTTTATTTTTACTTTATCAATTCAATATCAACCACATAAACCTACTTTTCTTAATAATCGTACCACCTCCTCATGCCCCAATGTTAGTGGGACGGAGGTAGTATTTATTTATTTATTTATTTATTTATGCATATGAACGGAACTTGTTATGGGACTTATTCCAGAGCAACTTGTTCACTTGATTTGTATACTCCTTTGAGGCTCAATTTTATAGCTAGGGTTTGGGTGAATCTTGAAGTCTTTGAACAAGAGCAAGCAAGGATGACCACTATTCGAAGATTTTGCTGCAACGATCTTCTCCGATTCACACCTGTTAATCTAGATCATCTCACCGAAACTGTCAGTGTTTTTGTCATTTCTCTCTCTCTCTCTCTCTATCTCTATCTCTATCTGGGAGAATAAACCAATTCAGCTTTGTATCGTCATATGAAGTTTCAATGGAAAAAGAATTGGTATGTGAAATGCTGATCATTTTTTGTTGTAGTTCAATATGTCGTTCTATATGACTTACTTGGCTAGGTGGCCTGACTATTTTCATGTGGCCGAAGCTCCGAGCAACCAAATCATGGGTTACAGTAAGTTCATCTCCAACCTTGTGTTCATAGTATGTTGAAACTTGAAATTATTAGATTTACGTTTTTATTGTATTGCTGTCCACTACAGTTATAAAAGTGGGACGATTTGCTTGGCTCAAACACTAAAAACATAATGCCAACAACTGTGCTATATGTAAACCTTTTGTACACCCCTTAGCTCACAGACAAAACATGTCCATGTAAGAAAATATAACACCGAAAGATGTCAAATATGAGTCATGTATGTGAGCTCATTCATGCACACAAAGTAGGTTTGTGTGTTGTGTCTTGCTCACAAACCTTTATCTGTATTCACAGACAACTATGTTTTTGTAGTTTGCTCAAAACACAACTCGTCTTTGACACCTTTCTGCTTTTCTTTTTCTTACATACACATGTTTTATTTGTAACTTAATAATTTGACAGAGATGAATTGTTTTTATGTAGAGGTGTACACCATTAGTGTACAAATAACATTGTTTTAATGTCAAAACACTCAAATTAGTATTGACTTTTCATCAGACAGATTAAGTTTTGTAAATAAAATACTAAAAGTTCATGTGATTACTTAGTAGGCCGTGGATCAATGATACACCAAAATGGCCTGCTCCTTTCCATGATTGGATAGGAATAAAGGAGAATATGTTGATCGTTGATGACTCATTAGTTTATAGTTTTTACAGTAAATTTTTAAGAATATTTGGGTTTTACACCTTTACCCTTGAATATTTCCATCATTTGCAATGGAGCCAAAGATTCATTATTTTTTGGCTTGAGATTATGATGGAATAAAGCAAAATGGCTCAGTAAACTGTCTGCGCTTCTTTGTAATGAAACATCAGTCAGTCCATGCAATTTTGGACGCGATTTTCACTATGGGTTATCCGGAAACAGTCTCTCTGTGCTTTAGTATAGGGGTAAGACTGCGTACATCCGACCCCCCCTTACCCCACCGTAGGTGGGAGCCTTTGCGGCACTGGGGTAAATGAAAAAAAAAACACCTTTACCCTTGAAAAATCAAGCGTCAGTGTGTCACCATAAAAAGGACACACTTAGGCTAAGGCTGATAGTGAAACATGTAAGATGTCCTGTTTACCATCTTAGAAAGAAGGCCCTGCTAACAGCATTGGACTTGCTTATATCATTAGGCTAGTGTGCATTATTTGGATTATTTGTACTTTTGTGGTGCATGAATGACCAACAAGTAAAACACAATTAATTTAGAAATGTCCTTGGGGTGTTTCAGTTTTTTCTCTAGTTATTAATCTCATATGTTTATAAATTTCCTGCTGTTTGCATTTTTTACATGCATGAACAACAATTGAATCTGGGTTTGTGGGGAACTGTTGCCTTTTATGTTTGCAGTTATGGGAAAAGTTGAAGGGCAAGGTGAATCTTGGCACGGTCATGTTACTGCTGTTACTGTATCCTCTGAATATAGAAGGCAACAGTTGGCCAAGAAACTGATGAATTTACTGGAAGATGTCAGTGATAAGATGTATGTGTAATTTCTGTTTCTTGCATGCACTCCTTGTTTATTGCGTCAAACAATAACTATCTGTAACCTTGAAGAGGAAAATGAAATGCTTATTTCTCATTCATGAGTATACGGCATAAAAATATAAGTCTGATTTTATATTTATTATCACGTCTTATGTTACTCCTGCATCTTCTGGAATGCTCTCTGTCCCGATTCTGAAAAAAGAATCATGTTTCAAAACTTATCTGTGTCTAAAACAAGTCATGCTTCAACAAAACAAGCTAAGTTCAATTGAATTTAATGTAATTTTTCAGGTATCTGTTTGCCTCAAAGAAGTTAAATACAGGAGTTGTATCTTACATTTTTACCAAAGTCAGAAGTTGTACCTTGACAAAACACATTTTTTTTGAAAAAAAGAATCCCCTTGTTTGACAAAAATCTATTGGGAATTTTTGCCTCTGTCTTGTATTACTGATTTCTCCCTGTTTCATGTGTTCCCAAGTCTAGGGGTAGATTGGTGATGTCATTTTCTAAATTACTGTGTTTTCAGATAGGTATTACTTATACGGGCACTAACAAGAGCTTTTCCATTATAGTTACAAGGCTTTCTTTGTTGATCTCTTTGTGAGAGCATCAAACGTGCCAGCCATAAAGATGTACGAGAAGGTATGCTTGACTCTCACTTCATCTCATGCTTGATTTTTTATGCGCCCGTGTCCCACAAAAACAGCTCAGTTTGAGTAAACCAAAATAATTTTTCAAGTAGTGTGTCTAAACAAGTGGACCAAACAAGTTAAATAGGATAAACATAGTTAAAATATTAAAAATGTTTTTAAGAAGTAACTATGATTTACACCTAATGACAGTTGTACATTGTGAAATAAAGTTGTACCTAGGTCAAACAAGAATATTTATGGGACATAAGGAGTGCATGTATGATGTATATATTTTTAAGTACTTTGGAAGTATCTTTGAACAAGGCATTAGTCTAAGTACATATATATTCTATTTTCCAGCTTGGCTACATAATATACAGGAGAGTGCTACGGTACTACTCTGGAGAAGAGGACGGGTTAGGTGAGTTGGGTAAATCCTACCATAAAAGTTTATAGAAGTATATTCTACTAATTAGTACGTAGTATATCTTAATTAAGAGACGTTTTTTTTTTTTTTTTTTGTTTCCTCTAAATGATAGATATGAGGAAAGCTCTATCACGAGATGTGGAGAAGAAGTCCATCATTCCCCTTAAACGGCCGATTACACCAGATGAACTGGAGTATGACTAATGACAAATTCGTCTTGTTCTTTGTTTGGCTGCTACCCCATGAATCTATGGGGATGCATAGGCTGTTCTTGATTATAAATGAATGAATGACCCATAGCTGGGAATAAATCAAGTTTAGAACGTTGATTTAGTGGCTTTGTGGTTTTGTTCTTACTGTCCAGATATCTTCGGATCATCCTCCATCTTTTTGAAATAAGTACATGAGGGCATTCATCATGCAGAATTAGGGGGTTTTGGTCCCCTTAACAGAAGAATATAATTGCACAGGCCAACTAGTTTTGTATCTACAAATTGTGTCTTGTTGGATACTCGGTTGTTAATGCAAGAGTGTTCCCCCAATAGCCAGTGATTAGTGGCTACCTGATATTTCTTCAGTATAGAGTTCCTTGACCCTTGCCCATCTTCGTAACTCTCAAGTCTCAACCACCTCCCCATCCAACTCCCTCCTTCGCTGTCTACTTCACCCAATGCATGTCTACGGTCTACCCCTCTCCTGTCTCCACTAGTGTCCATTCACTCATATCTGTTTATGGTTTAAGAGCTCGTTTGGTAACACTAAAATCGGATGAATCTGTTGAAATTTCTGAAGTTCTGGTTGAAGTGGCTTTATTGGTTGATTCTGTTGATTTCTGGATAAAATATATTTAGATTATATTTTATTAATAAAATAAAGAAAAGTTATATGAAAAAATAACTAAAATGGTCATCCACACTAACTTTAGCCAATACAGCCAGAAAAGTAACTCCAACCTTACTTATTCTTATTATTACACAATTTAGCGAGTGAAATAAAAAAAATGTGTTTGATTAAAAAATTGGATGATAAACCTGATAAGTTGAAAAATAGTCACCAAATGAGCTCTAAAATTTTATATTTATCATACAAAAATGGATAATTGATTATATGCATACGCACACTGAATGCACTCAATAAAAACGCTTTATAGGACACACATAGAAGTATAGAACACATAAAAGCATATATTTATACGGATGTTTTGAAGTATATAGTTGTCCCTGTACAGAGTCTACACAAACAAAAGTCAAATGATACTTAATACGTAGTACTTCCTTCGTTCTTAAATAAATGCAACGGTCAACATTTCACACTTGTCGAGACACAACTTTGACCATTAATATAAATGATTTTGTATTAGTAAAAAAATTAACAAATTAGATTATGAAAATTTACAATGAGACAAGTTTAACAATATTTTTTTTCATAAAATAATATTATTACATTAATAAATAAAACGTAGTCAAAGTAGAATATATTTTAGCTTCTCTTTGACCGATTAAATGTTTTTATTCCCACCCTTGCAACTATATTTTATAAAACATGTATACTCCTTCAGTTACAAAAATTACTTCTCACTTATTCTGAATTGTCCTAAAACTTTTAACATTTTTTATATAAATCACAATCTTACATTTTGACATTATCAATAAGTGTGCCAATTCAAATGTATACTAAAGTTTAGGGCGAAGGTAACATTTTATAAAGTACAGCACATTTGAATATGCTAATTAGGGTAAATTCTGGATTTCGTAATTTGTTTAGCACTAGGATACAAAGTGAGAAAAGTCTTCAATTGAGTTACACAAGTTAAGTACATTTTCTTTGTATATTCCAATGTATCTTCTTCCCATAGAGTGATAGAATTAAGTTAGTACTACCTCCATCCCATAAAATTCTTCTCACTTTAACTTGCACGGAGATTAAGAAAGTGGAATAAAGTGGAAATGTATGGTTGTGGTTGTGTAAGAAAAATGTGAACCACACAAATTGTCCAAAAATGGTAAGTGAGAAGAATTTTTTGGGACGACCCAAAAAGGAAAGTGGGAAGAATTTTATGGGAAGGAGGGAGTAATTTTTTTTCCAATTGGAATTTTGTAGAATATTTTGAGTTGTTTCTAATATTTTGATTTTTCTTTTAAAGTTAAACATACTTGCAATTTGTTGAATTCTCCAAGACTCCAAGTAGTCTCCAACTGCTGAATGCCTGACCTGTTAGGTATATATACTACTAATACTTGTAGCAAATAGCATAATATAATATCTCAAAACATTAAACACTTCATATTTGATCGATATAGCCAATAATAAAGAAAATCAAATAAGACAACTCAATTAAATAAAAACATGCTAATGTACTTCAGATATAGGATGCTTAAATTAGACAAATGGGTATTACAAGAAGCAAGGCAAGATCATGAAGCCCAATTTGTAAGAATGGAGCGCCACTTGTATTATCCGCGGTGTATGATGGGCTAAGTTGAGGAGCCCCATAATTTGGCGAAGACGATGGAGGCCCATAATTTGGCGAAGACGATGGAGGCCCATAATTCTGGGGTGATTGGGCTGGGCTTCCATTGGGAACCTCAACACGCTGATTAGTTTTAGGAACTCTAATGTCGATCTTTTGCCCAGCCTGGCAATGGCCTTCGAACCCACAAATGTAGTAGTAGTGGCCTGGGCCCATTATAGTTATTGAGTCGTTGCCGGAGGTGTAAGTGGCTATTGGCGACGTCGTTTTGCAAGAATGGTAGTCTTCGCGGCTCACTCGCAACACATTGTGTTCATGGGGATTGTATTCAAAACCTGCAATTTATTTAGAAAATAGGTTAGGGCTCATTTCTTGCTATAATAATTGTGAGGTAAAAATATAAAATGAATCAGCTATAAAATGTAAAAATATGGGAAATTTATTCAAAACTAGGATCGCTTGTTCATACTATAAAACTTGCTACATTGGGTTCGGTTATAACTCTACCAAGTTTCCATTGATGATTGTTCCAAAAATTTATCACTTCTCTTGTTTAAGACTATAAGAGGACTTCGAGGTGTTTGGTAAATGATCTATCTGTTTGTTTTGGCTGTTTGGAGTGACTTTAACTGTTTGACTTCGAGATGTTTATTATAGGCGTTTGGAGTGACTAAGTGACTTTATTAATAAACATCTTTTTTATTTGACTATTTGCCGCAAAAAAGCCAACAACGAAGAAGTCACTCTGAGTAGCTTTTCACATCGGCTTTTACATTATCATTTAAAATTCTAATATAACCTCTCATTTTAGCCCATTTGTTAATTATTTAATAACTATTCAAAAAATGAAGTACAATGAAAATAATTACGAAAATGTAATACTCCATCCGTCCCGAAAAGATTCGCCAAATTGACTTTTCTTATTCAATGACAACCAACTTTGACCAATTATATTTTCTAATGCGAGATTATTTTGAATATAAGAATTATATCAAAATATTTCTTATTCAAAATATTTTCATAAAAGTATAAAATTTATAAATTTTATGCAATTATAGTAATTAAAATCATTGCCTAAGAAAAGTCAGTATGACAAACCTTTTTGGGACGAAGGTAGTACTATTTAATACACCGACAATAAACATCATCATGAATATAAGTACTATTTTAAAGGTTACTAAAAACAATCATATATAAAATATTAATACTAAAAATAATTGAATTTATGTAAATAATAATTAAAGATAATACTATTTTAGAGCATTATGTATTTGTGTATGCATGTATTTATATCAAAAATAATAATAGTAGTGATTATATAAAATAATAGTTAGTGTACTTATCAAAAAAATAAAAATGTACTCCATAAAAGCTAAATTAAATTCATAATATTTTGTATATGTATTCTTAATATTCATTTTACGGCTTAACAACTAATTGTGAACATCTAAATTACTAAACACTTTGCTTTAATCCTAATGATATAGCGGCAAGTCAAAACAACTAAAAGAACCCGGTGATATCAAAGAATGTATATAATCAACAATCAACTAACAATCAACGGCCGATTGCCGAACATCCGCAGGAAGTACATCATTTGTTTTATCAAATTTGTGATATGCTAGGGCCTCGGTAGATCGGCTCTATCATTTTCTGTTTTGATGGTATCCAATGCCACATTTGAAAATTCATATCTTAAACAAAAAGTATTAATTGTGTGTACACACACACATATATATATATATGTATGTATATATAGATAAAGAGTGATAATTGAAAATTCATGTTAAAACTTGTTAAAACACGAGATTCTATATTAGATGTCAAGTCAAACTGATAGGAAGAATGACCCAACATTTCATTTGATACTAGTGTTTTTTGTTTAATCAAATGACTATTAAAAGTAGCTTTTTATTTTTCATATTTACCGCACCCTGAAATTGTTCATACCATAAGAATACTGAATATAGATGGATGAACTTACTGAAGGTGTCTCCAACATGGAAAACCTTGTGGGAAGCCCACTCGTGATAATCAACACCTCCTACATTCCAAGCAGCCGCAGCCCCAACTCTGTACTGAGCGCCTGCCGCGGTGGCCGGAAAACGAGAGACGGCGATCAACGTCAACAGCAGGGCCGCTGCTTCCGATCTCAACCCGCCCATTCCGCTCATATCGAGTGCCTTAGCTTGCAGTTTCTCGATCAAGTAAACCTTTTCCCTTGTGAAGATTAATCAAGTAAAGAGGGGATTTTATAATGAATAAATAGTCACATTGCAAGGATATATGGCGTGGATGGGTAGGATGAATCTCGTTTGTAGGCAGAAAAACGTGACAAGTTTGTCATGCATATTGACCGTTGTATGTCTATGACAGACAGTAAGAAAAGATCATCCCAGTAATTATTGCTGTCTAACTCCACCCGCATGTTCCTCGTGGTATAAATAAGTATAACTAGTACGGTTCACACTAATCATTAGTGACTAATGAGAAAAACGAATATATTACCGGTAGGCCTAACTCAACGGATAGATAGTACGTGTCATATGAGATGAGTCTCCGGTTTGAATCCTGGCAATTGCGGAAAAGTTACTATGTAAAAATACATACAACGTTTGGAAGTATCTCGGTAAAAGTCTCGGTCTCTATCAGCTAGGTTGTGATTAAAGTCCAATTTACATTTATTCTTCCGGTTAAGTGTCTGGACGGTAGTGTAGGCTCTCAAGGATGGTGTGTCATCATTTGTTTTAGAAAAACAACGGTTTGAAGTAGAAGATAAATGGAGCTTTTGAAATAATTTCAAAACATTTTTAAGAAAATCCGGACACACACAGCTGTTGTGTATTATCAACCGCCATATTTTGTTTTAAATACTACGTATATATTTTTAAATAATTTGCGCTGTCGACGCAGTGGTTCATAACTTAAGAACCGATACATTTTGAATAAACTAGCGTCAGATTCAAATTAAAATTAATGTGCGTAGCTCACCTGGTAAGAAGAAGTGCCACAAAGGAGAGATCTTGGGTTCAATTTCAAGCAATCACTTGAGATGTAACCTCACTCACTTTCCATCAGAGTGTTCAAACCTCAACTTACATCCTCCCAAATAACTGTATGGACGGTTTTGAGACCTTCAAGAATGGCCGGGTGTCCTCCTTCTTTTTGCTATGATTAATCATTAAATTTTATTATTTTCGAGCAAATTATAAGATTTTATTATACTTTATTTTTTATACGGAGTAGTTCATTGTAGTATAAAATCTTATTAATTGTAGATTGTATTTATAGGGATGTCATTATATGGTGCGATGGTTGTCTTTAGGGAGAATTTGACTTTGCACTCCACTTTTTGGGTGATATTATACTTACCCCATTTAAAAAAAAATGACTTTGCACTCCATTCCACTTTAAAATCTTTTGAATTTGCACCACATTCAGAAATTTTTCTTTACAAAATGTTATGTGTTGAAGTGCAAAATAAAAGTTATTTCAAAATGGGGTGCAAAGTCTAATATCACCCAAAAAGTGAGTGAAAAGTCAAATTCTCCCTTGTCTAGCTTTAACCTATAATAGACCATGGTAAGGTTTACTAATGTTTGTTTGTTTTCTTCTCATTTACACCATTTTGTTCAAACAAACCATACATTAGAGAAGATTAAATAAGGATTTTGTAAAAAAAAATCACTATGGTCTTGTTTGACAATCACCGGTTAGCTATTAACTTTTAGCTGGTTACGATAGTTGTTTGACAATAGTTGATTGTGTTGATTGTTTTAATCAACTAGTTATACTCCGTATTAGCTTTTGGTCAATAACTATTTAGTAAACCTAAATGTTTAAAATAGTCGTTAGAGTCTAAAAAGACAGATAAGAATATGACTATTTTTTAGATATGTAATGAAATTTGTTTTAGAAAAATAGCTCGAGACTTTACTTAAAATGTAATAATAAATTGAAATGGCCGTAGGTAGTATAATTGGTAGTACAAGGTTTTGTTGAAATCTAATGGAATTTCTCCGTCGGGGATGATGGATCGGAGTACTATTCATAAAGGCCTGTGGATTTTCTCATTATTTGCACGAGGGAATCATGATCGCGCGACCCTATTTGTGCTGCCTTATAGTATCTGTTCTGTTACCTCATTCTTTACTCAGATAATTTCGAACATATGATCTCATCTTTGAGAGTGTCACAGTGATGTCATCGAATGATAGTGATGTCATCGAATCACATAATGCTTGTCAAATATATATGGATTTAGAATTAAAATAATGAAAGTAAAATTCCATACTCCGTATAAAATTGTAACATCCACCTCATCCGGTCTGGCCGATTCGGGGTAGATGTCATTATCGTTTATCATTTCGTAAAACTTTCTAATTGAATTAGAAAACATTAAAAAAATGTAATCGTAATCGTTTTGTTAATAAACATGTCACCAGAACATTTAATTCTCAATATGAATAAAACTCACTTCATTAAAATAATAGCTTTATTTTTTTAAGACATCGTTGGTTGTATTAACTTATATGCATTGTCGTCCTCTCCGGATGTCTGATCTCTGTGTCCCGGGCTCCAACTTGATTCTTGTGTTTACCTACGTGTAGAAAAAATACATGTTCAACAATTGAATTGTTGAATGGTACTATAATATAACATGTAGTAATAAAATATATGAACATATATTTATCACTTTAATAATTGATGGCTTGTTCATATCATTTGTCCAACTTGTACATTTCAATCGTGTAAGTAAATCATATCTCAACTAATACTATGACTTAAGAAATAAATAAAAATAAGTAAATAACATACATATTTATCGAAGTTCAAAAACAACTTTCATATCAACTTTACCTTGATCTTATTTTAATTCGAGATATTTCTTATGACGTGGTGGAAAAATAATTCTACATATAAATAATAACATAACAGAAGTCATATATCCAATACAGAAATCATCTTCTTATTTCTTTTATAATAGCTGATAAGCTTATTTATCAACATACTCATTTAAGCCTTTACTCCAAGGACCAGACTTTATCCAAGGGTACAAATACAAATAAAATAGCTTATCAGGTAACCAACTTTAGTTTCGTGGACTCTGGCTTGAGGTCATATGCTAGCATACCGTGGAGAACGAATCGTCCAAACCGGAGTTTAAGTAATCTTGAAACCAAAACTTTTAAACACAGTATCCAAGACTGGTATTCCAAATCCTAGAGTACATAAGACTTTTAGATAAAAAAATATTATGAGTTCCTTTATTATTCAAAAATTTAATAATAATCCCGACATATTCTTAAATATAGATAGCTATATAAGTAGGCTCTTCCACCGAAACTTAGATACTCATAATAACTTGTATTCATATACTCATTTATCATATGAAAACATTATCATCAATACGGATATTACACACATAAATATTCGCTTTAGAGAAATAAATATTCATTCTTTATAAACAAACCCATATGTATTTTCATTTATTATAAATAAGTAAATGGAATTGGAATTCTAATAAAAATCATATTATAACATTAACATCTTTTCTTTTAATAACAACAATAATGACACTTAATAAATGTCGAATTATAGTATTGACATTTATATATATGAAGAATAAATGATCATCCACGCATCCTTTGATCTACTTTTTGTGACTGAACTCTCATCTACTTCCATCCCTCCTCTTCTAACCAGCCTTCTTACTTTTTTTTTATTTTTAAAAAAGTTGGTTATAGATCCGCCGAAGTGGGTAGCCTTAACAGCACGTGTGTTAACAAAAAAAGCCCGAAAGGTAGTCACGTCCCCGTCAAAGGAGATGTCAACCATCTCTCCTTTATTATATGTGTTAAAAAATGAATGAGAGTCTAACGTCTCATGGTGTGGTGTTAAAGTAAGCTGGTATAAGAATATTTTCAATTGGACTGTAATTTTATGGTCTTGTCATAAGCATGAAAATACCAAATGAAAGATCTATATTCCTCGTAAGCATCACAATCACCATTACTTTGATTTTTACCTCATGACTTAGCAAATCCGAACATTTAATACTTTTAAGAAATTCAACTTTATGTGACTCATGTAAGAGATAACTATATGAGCTAGATGAAGAAGTTGGGTCTAACTTAGATAAGTCTATAACTCTAAATCTATGTGAGATAACATGTAATCATTGATCACATTAAATTCATTATATTTATGCTCAGGGTAAAAGTGGCTCTGAAATACATACACGTAATCGAGTTACTCTGAGTTAAGAAGTAAAGATAAATACCATATGTATATCATTTAAGCAATTGCCCTAAATTTGAATAAAAAATGACAAACTGTCAGGAGAGTATTCATACAGATATATACCTTGAGCTTGTTTATTCCGTGCAATATGATGAAACATGAGCTTGTTTATGTCTTAATCACATTGTAAAGGTGATAACACAAGCTAGCTAGATACAACCACAATTTCCATGTCATGAAAGCAAAATTTACTTTCCTGCATAGTAACATTATATTTATCACCTTTACAATTTGATTAAGACATTTATCATCTATATTTGATTTCAACTGCGTACATTATAACACAGACCACCTTTGATTTTTAACACTACAGTTACTAACAAACTAAACTATAAAAGTTGATTCCTTTTGCAGATCATGATATTATCCATCACTTAAGTTGGGTAATTGACGTGAGATATATTAAAATTAAAGTCTCTTTTTAATGAAATAAAAGAGATGATAAATCATACAGAGACATGATAAAACCAACCTCAGTAACATCATCTTTTGAAGTGACGTAAGATGAGGTTCCTCCACCTAAAGTTTTTTTGGTTGTTTCTTTTAAGCAAAAGCGTCTGCATTCATACATGATAAAAGTTTAGTTCATATTTAATCTTTCTTAAAGTAGTACGCAATTACTTTTTGCATCCAAATTTTGTTTAGGCTTTCAAGTTCTTGGAGAATGAATATGTTAATTTTACATTTTATGAGATATCTACATTTTCATTTTAAAGTTGGTACTTGAAGTTAAAATATTGATGTCGATATAATTGAATCTAAGAAAATTAAGGTTTGAAACCCGTACTAAATGCATAGAATAAATAAAGGTTCACCATACATAATAATGTCATGTCCACTTCATTTCTGAACATGGAAGGTGAATTGGTGAATCTTCTTCACAAGTTAAGAAGGTCAGATTAGAGAGCATATGCAAGGGTGTAAGACTAAGTTAGCAATATA